ATTTTACTCCTACTAATCATTACTCTAATTAGCACAGGAAAAATAACTCCAAGAAAGTACTGTTTTCTCTAGCCAAAGTGACAGAAAAAGCTTGGCCAGATAAGACAGAAACTTTTTAACCTTTCTCCGTCCCTATTCTGGAGACAACAGCATGAAAAAAGGTGTGATTCTCCCCCACCCTAATGGGTGCTCCATGAGTGGAAAACATGGATGGGAACTTGTCTTTACCCAACCAATCTTTGTAGTAACGAGGTGATGCCCCTTGCCTGCCCAGTCTGTGAGCTAAACTGTAAATTTCACCCCCGAACTGGAGGGGTTAAGAGGAAAAATTCTTATTTCTACCCTTCATCTACAGAAATAAGGAGATGTTCCTTCCCCATGGAGCATATATGGATAGATCTCTGACTTCCATCCTCCCTACTGTAAAGAAGAGGTTACCCTACCCAGGACTGGGGGAGGGAGTGGTCTTTTGTCCCCATTATCATTCTCCCTAGCCTGTACTGATGAGAATGTGGAGATGGAGTCCTCGGTGGGTGGATAACACATAAGAGGGGAAGATTAGAAGCACTGAAGAGAAGAGGGTTTATAACTTAAATTGGCATTTGAGCCACAATCCACAAAAGTGAGCTTCTGACCATAAACAGGTTGACTCTCTACCAAAATGGAAGAATTTACATGTCCCAAGTCATATAAAACACAACATGTTTTATAGGACATATTCCAGAATTACTCACCTTACCAAGAGCCAAGAAAATCTCAGTTTGAATTAGTTGATACCAATACTGAGATGACAGTGATGTTGGAATTATAGGAATAAAGATTTTAAATCAGTTATAATGTTTCAATAAACAATAATAAATATTCTTAAAAATTTAAAAATAATTGGGGGGCACTTCACTGGCTCAGTCTGTTAAGCATCTGACTCTTGATTTCTGCTCAGTTCATGATCTCAGAGTCATGAGATTGAGCCCTCCATCAGATTCCATGCTCAGCACAGAGTCTGCTTGGGATTCTCCCTCTTTCTCTCTCTTTCTCTCTCTCCCCTCCTCTTCTCTTCCTCTGCTCCTCCCTACCCTCATAATAAAAAATATTTTTAAATTAAAAAATCTTTAAAAAATAAAATTAGGAAATCTTACCAAAGAAATAAAAGATATATATAAGAACCAAAGGGAAAAATTAAAACTTAAAAATACAATAACCCAAACAAAAACCTCAATAAAGCAACTCAATAGCAGAACAGAAATGACAAAGGAACCAGTGAAACTGAAGACAGATCAATAGACTGTATCAAACCCAAACAACACAGAGGAAATAGATTGAAAAGAACAAATCTGACCCTCTGGGACTTATGTTAGAATAACAAAAGATGTAACATTTGCACCATCACCATCCAAGAGTCCCAGAAAGAGAGGAAAAAGGATGTGGAATTAAAAAAAAATATTTGAAGAAATAATGACTGAAAACTTCTTGAATTTGGTAAGAGATCAAACTACAGATCTAATAACCCAATAAACTCAAAGAAATCAACACCAGGACATACCATAATCTAATCTCTGAAAACTAATAGCAAAAAAACTGGGGCATCTGGGTGGCTCAGTCAGTTGAGTGTCCAACTCTTGGTTTCAGCCCACATCATGATCTCTTGGTCATGGTATCAAGCCCCAGGTTGGACTCTGTGCTCAGCGCAGATCTGCCTCAGATTCTCATTCTCTCTCACACAAAAGATATAACCTAATAAAATCTTAAAAAAAAAAAAAGCAAAAAAAATCTTCTTGACATCACGCAGAGAAAAACAACTTATTACTTATGGGGAGGAGCAATTCAAATCACAGCAAATTTCTCATTTGAAATCACAGAGGCCTGAAAGAAGTGGTATAACATTTTAAAACGTTGAATGAAAGAAACTGTCAATCTAGAATTCTACGTTAAGTGAAAATATACAGAAATGAAGGTGAAATAAAGGCATTTTTAGGTAAAGGAAAGTTAAGAGAAGTTTTTGCCAGCAGACCAGTTCTAGAAGAAGGGCTAAAGAAAGTTCCTCATGTAAAAAGGAAATGATACTGGTAGAAAATTAGGAACTTTGGGAATGAAGGAAGAGCAACATAAAGGGTAAATTGGTAAATATAATAGATTATTCTCCTCTTGAATTAAAAAAAAAGTGTGCTTAATAGTTAAAAGCAAGTTTATAATATTGTCTGATGTGGTTCTCAATATATATAGAAATAATATTCAAGATAATTATAAAGCAGGGAGAATGAAAGTACCTACTGGTTGTAAGGAATCGATACTATACTTGATGTGGTAAAATGGTAATACTGTAGATTGTATTAAGCTACATGTGCCTCTTATAATCCTTAGGCAGACACTTAAACACAATCCAGAGATATACTAAAAAGCAGTATAAATAAATTAAAATGGAATTCTTAAAAAAAAAGTTGAAGTGACCCACAGAAAGACAGAAAAGGAGTAATATGGGGATAAGAAACAGAGGGGAAAAATAGAAAATAAATAACAAAATGGCAGGCTTAAGTATTAACTTATCAACAATTACATTAACTATTATGATCTAAATCCGCCAATTAAAAGACAGAGATTGGGACACCTGGGTGGCTCAGTCAGTTATGCACCTGCCTTTAGTTCAGGTCATGATCCCAGGGTACTGAGATGGATTCCTACATGGGGACTCGCTCAGCGGGGAGTGTGCCTTTCCTTCTGCTTACTGCTCCTCCTGCTTGTTCTCTCTCTATCTCTCAAATAAGTAAATAAAATCTTAAAAAAAAAAAATAAAAGAGATTGGCGAATTAAAAAAAAAATGATCCACCTGTATACTGTCTCATTTCAAATACAATGATACAAATAGGTTAAAAGTGAAAGAATGTAGTACACACCATCCAGATAATCATCAAAGAGCTGGTGTGTCTGTATCATATCAGCTAAAGCCTAGGCAATGAAAATCACCGGGGATAAGGAGATATATTACATAATAACAAAAGAGTCAATTCATCAAGAAGATATATTAATTTTAACATGCATCTTCCAAATAATAGAGATGACAAATACAAAAAGGAAAAACTACCAGAACTGAGTTGAGAAATAGACAAACCTGTAATTATAGTTGGAGACTTCAACATGCCTCTCCTTGTGATTGATAGAATCAATAGGTAAGAGGTCAGGTTATAGAAGGGCATAGAAAACCAAACAACAGGATCATCCGATGAGATCTAATTGATACATATAGAACACTCAGCCCAACAGTAGCAGAATACATACATTTTTTTCAAGCATGCATGGGACTGTATGCTGGGTCATAAAACAAACCTCAACAAATTTAAAAGACCTGAAATTATACAGGATATGTCCTTTTACCATAGTGACATCAAACTGGAAATCATTAGAAAGAAAGCAGGAAAATTTCCAAATACTTGGAAATTAAACAACATATTTCTTTCTCTTTCCTAAAAAGATTTTAAGTAATCTCTTCACCCAAACTCAGGCTCAAACTCACAACCCTGAGATCAAGAGTCGCATACTCCACTGACTGAGCTGAGCCAGCCAGGTTTAAGCAACATATTTCTTTCTTTTTTTTTTTTTAAGATTTTATTTATTTATTTGAGAGAGAGAGAGAGAGAGTGCATGAGAGGGAGAAGGTCAGAGAGAGAAGCAGACTCCCCATGGAGCTGGGAGCCCAGTGTGGGACTCGATCCTGGGACTCCGGAATCATGACTCGAGTGGAAGGCAGTTGCTTAACCAACTGAGCCACCCAGTCACCCAACGCATTTCTTAAACAAGGGTATAGGTTTAGGAGCCTAGCTTTAAACTTCTGTTACTAATCCTGTCACTTAGTGTTCCCAATTGGGTGTTTCTCCAAGAAATTGATAAAACCTTCTCCACCTGTACTTGAGTATAGAAGCATGTGTTTAAAGTGCCCGGGGTACGTCTAGGAAAAGGGGAACAAATATTTGTTGTGCACCTACTAAAAGCCAGATTTGATTACTGATAATTTTATTTAACCTTCACAGTCACCTACCACAGTGTTGTCACTCATCTAGGTAGTGACAGATAACAGAAGTACCTAGCTGAGTGACAGGAAACCAGCTGAGGATGTTTGAGAGAGGGCTGGATGCTGAAGGGAATTTTAAGGAAATCAGAGAGGACAGAGTTAGGAAACCCTGGTGGGACATGATTATAAAAAGGTGGAAAGAGGCTGAGTTAAGAAGAGTTCCGGGGCGCCTGGGTGGCTCAGTGGGTTAAGCCTCTGCCTTAGTCTCAGGTCATGATCCCAGGGTCCCTGGATCAAGCCCCACATGGAGCTCTCTGCTCAGCAGGGAGCCTGCTTCCTCCTCTCTCTCTGCCTGCCTCTCTGCCTACTTGTGATCTCTGTCTGTCAAATAAATAAATAAAATCTAAAAAAAAAAAAAAAAAAAAAAAAAAAAAGAAGAGTTCCAAGTGGATCCCTAACTCTGGAAGGCAGTAAGTAGGAAGCACTAAGAAAATTTAAGCAGAGGGACACTTTAAAACAAATTACTTTAGTGAGCCCTGATAGCAGGGAGAGGAGATGGAAAGGGAGGGGTTAAGTTACTCACAAGTGGTGAGGATTTAGGGAATCCTGTATCATTTTACACTCAGGAAATACAGCGGAGAAGGTAAGTACAGCTTCCCCAAACCCCCACCCCCACGACAAAAATATTTAAAAGGACAAAGTGATCATATTATAAACAGGATGTTGCAATAACACTTAACAAGATACACAACTAAATGGGCTAGAGACTGTAACATGTCTGGCACCCTTAAATAGTCATCAGTGAATAATATTTCACTTCTAGAAAGGACAGGTGTAATCATACCAGTAGACAGTGAAGAAATCGAGGCTCGAAGCAGGATTTACCAAGGAACCTGCATTCGCTGCACAGCCACCCAGCCTCCCGCCCTCGATCCCCGGGATGGCCCCTGTCCTGCAAGTCAGGGTCCCGGCACAGCCCTGCACCTTCGCCCGCTCCTACCCGCTCAATCGTCAGGTGAGACTGCTCGAAGTCCAGATGGAAGAAGTTGCCCACGAAGGGCAGAGGTAGGGGACCTGGCGGGTAGTTCTTTGGGCGCCGTCTTTTGAGGAAATCAGCAAAGAACAGAAAGGCGACGGCACCCAGCAGGAGGGTGCGGAGGTGAAGCACCGCCCAGACAGTGGCCACCAGGGAGCCCACCGCCCCAAGCATAGCTCTCTCTTCCTCTTGCTCTGCCGAGCTCTGAGCAGGCGACGTCCCCGCGGGTCCCGGCAGCTGAGCTTGCAGGACCGCCTGCCGGCTCCGCCCAACTCGCCCCGCCCAACTCGCCTCTCCCCACCCGCCCCCACTGTGCCCCGCCCCTGGCGTCCTCCCCCCTGCGCCCCGGGGTGGGAACTCTGTCCCAGCTGTACGCCCCACCCGCCGCGTGCAGCGCCCAGTGAGCCTCCTTTTCCCCTCCTTCCTTCCCTGGACCCCAGACTCCACGTCAGCCAGGCTGCCCTCCAGAAGAGGTCTTGGAAAAGGCCAGGCTCGGAGCGTTGCTCTTTTCTGCTTATGAAGAGTCACCCTCTCTCATCCCACAGTTGGAATCTTGCCAGGTAAACAGTGATGATATCAGCAGCACCCGGCATTTCTTGGGCGCCTTAACCAAATGCCAGGCAGCACACTCGCCTCTGTGCATGAATCACTTAATTTTGACAAAATCAGGCAGAAATGCTCTTCTTAGCTCCATCTTAGAGCTGAGAAAACTGAGACCTAAAGGTTAAGTGGCAAATAGGTGGTGAATAAATAAATCCACGGGTCTGCAACACATCTGAGCAAGATACTGTATTTGTAACTTTTTGAAGATTGAAAAGCATTACATCAAGGGTTGCTTGGGTGGCTCTGTCGGTTAAACCACCCACTCTTGATTTGCCCACAGGTCCTGATCTCAGGGCTGGGTGTAGAGCCTGCCTGATTCTGTCCCTCCCTCTTCCTCTGCCTCTGCCCTCAAACAAACAAACAAACAAACATATAAATAAATAAATGTATATACACACATATGTATATAAATAAATGTATAAATATATTAATAAATTAAATTTTAATTTAAAAAAGCATTACATCAAAGCCCCCAGCCCTGAGCCTAGTCTTTAACAGGTGCTTAATTAACACTGTAAGAAGGTGTCTTCCTCCTTCTCCTTTTTGGTTTGCCATATGAGATTCCTCCTCTGAAGCCCCAAGACAGTGTTAGAGCCCCAGGTTCCAACCTTCCTTGCCATCCTGTGTCTCCCCATCTGTGAGGGACTTAAATCATGAAGCACAGTTTTGAAGTGCAATAGCACACACGTATAGTCTTAACATACAGATAAACAGTCGCATAAAATAAAATAGAATAGAACAGAACAGAATTGAAGTCTCTTTTCTATCTTTCCAAAATCAGGACCTCTTCTCACAGACTATATAAATGAAGTGTTGGACTTTACCTGAAAGCCACAAAAATTGATGTTTAGTTGTATTTATAATAAGCTGATTTAAACTTCCATGAGAAGAAAAGTTAAGACTGCTTATTCAAAAACAACAATGAAACCTCACCTTCTAATTTGCTTCTCATTAGTTCCTTCCAAAGCAAAGTCTAAAGTCTATGATTGATATTATTTTCCTATAATGAATACTTTCAGGGCATTGTGTAGCATGTGGAAAGTATAAAGGAAAAGGAAGACATTTTTTAACTTTAGGAACTTATTACTATTAATATAACATTCCCTAGCTGAATATTGTTCTCTTCTTGTTCCATTAAGTCAAAATACAAACCGGTACAGGTATTTGGTTCCTAATGTTTTAAAATGTAACATAACTTGTTAAAAGTATTTTGCATAAGTTGTGTATACTTCAGGTTCAAGTTAATGGCTTTGATTTTGTTCTAAAGAATAGTGAATAGCACAAACATTATTAATATCCTTAGTTATAACCACATGAGATAATTATTGGTATTGGCATTCAGTGCCACTGTGTGATTTTTCTCCTGTGTTCTGTCTTGTACTAACAAATCTTCCAAATCATTGATTTGTTCTTAAAAAAAAGAAAAGGAAAGAAAGCAAGAAAAAGGAAAAAGCTTTTGTTGGCTTTTGTTTTTGTTGGTCAAATCAGTTTTTTACTTTGTCAAATCACACACATGGAAACATGTAAAGCAACTAAGTATAAGTAATATAATATAAGATACATAACGATGTATCAAATTCTTAATTTTACTAATGGGCACAGTTGCACAATGAGAAATTTTCAAATTATTCTCTTCATTGGTTCTTATGTCAATAAATTCCCGAATAAAGTGGTAAGCCACTAATAAGTTAATCGGTAATTATGATAACAGCTATCAAGTGATTTTTTTTCAGCGTTAGTTGAGAGCTGTTGTGAATCCTGTCTATCCAAAGAAGGAACACACTATAAATATTAACAAGTTATTCAGCTAGAGTATTTTTAGATATTAAATTACATGTCAATCATTTAAAGTGAATTTGAGATTATGCAAAAGGCCTATTTTCTAAACAATAATGATAATTTCTTAATTAGCAAATTCTTTATTTTAGGAATTAGAATAGTTTGAGATTTTTAAAATTTCTATTACTTGTCTTGTATCTTCTTCCATGACATAAGTACATGGACAATTAGAAGACACAAATGTTTTTCAAATGATTTTAAGGATTTAGTTTAAAAATTGATTGATATGATGCATTGTTTTTACTAAGATATAAATTGACCCATCGTATCTTTTTTATTTGCTTAGGATGCTTTTTTCCCATTATCTGAAATTTGAAGGCATTTCTGTCGTATTGCAAACAAACTTAAATGGGCAAAAAATAGTCATGTGTCCTGTGTTAGTATATCCATAGCACCCTGGAAATCTGAAGTCTAATCTAAACTGGCATGTTTTAAAATATTCAAGAAGAAAAAAATAACTACCTTAATACCAGCCTTTTAGGTTTCATGAAGATTTTGGTGAGGAATAATAGTACATAATATAAATATTGACAAGACTCTAAAAGTTCCTTTAATAAAATATAAAATACTCAATATTTACAGAATCAGGCAGAGGAGATCAGTATTTAACATTGGGTAGTTTGTGTCTCGTGTTTGTATTATAGTATTCAAATTACAAGTATAACAGTTTAATATTTGCTGATACATTTATATAGAAGTAAATCTTAAATATAATTATTAAGCTTTTCTAGTGAAGAAGTAATGATTATTTTCAAACAAAAATTGAAGGGATTTGCTGCCAATAGAACAGCCTTACCAGAAATGTTAAAATAAGTTCTTCAGAAAAGAGGGAAAACACAGAGGTCAGAAACTCAGGTCTGCATAAAGAAAAGAAGAACATTAGGGAAGAAATAAATGAAAGTAAAATAACTTTTGTTTTTCTTATTCTTAATTAATCTAATAACAGATCAAAATAAAATAACAACATATTCAGTGATTATAGCTTATAAATAAGTGATATAAATGATGAAATGTTTTAAGAGAAGGAAGTAGGAAAACTATTAAAGAATACTTGCATTACCAATAAAGCAGGACAGTGTTATTTAAAAGTGGGTTTGGGAAGCTCTATTTTTAATTTCTTAAGGAATCTCCATGCTGTTCTCCAAAGTGACTGCACCAACTTGCATTCCCACCAACAGTGTAAGAGGGTTCCCCTTTCTCCACATCCTCTCCAACACACGTTGTTTCCTGTCTTGCTAATTTTGGCCATTCTAACTGGTGTAAGGTGGTATCTCAATGTGGTTTTAATTTGAATCTCCCTGATGGCTAGTGATGATGAACATTGTTTCATGTGTCTGATAGCCATTTGTATGTCTTCATTGGAGAAGTGTCTGTTCATATCTGCTGCCCATTTTTTGATATGATTATCTGTTTTGTGTGTGTTGAGTTTGAGGAGTTCTTTATAGATCCTGGATATCAACCTTTTGTCTGTACTGTCATTTGCAAATATCTTCTCCCTTTCCGTGGGTTGCCTCTTTGTTTTGTTGACTGTTTCCTTTGCTGTGCAGAAGCTTTTGATCTTGATGAAGTCCCAAAAGTTCATTTTCGCTTTTGTTTCCTTTGCCTTTGGAGACATATCTTGAAAGAAGTTGCTGTGAAAAGAAGGGCCATCTGTACCCCAATGTTTATAGTAGCAATGGCCACAGTTGCCAAACTGTGGAAAGAACCAAGATGCCCTTCAATGGATGAATGGATAAGGAAGATGTGGTCCATATACACTATGGAGTATTATGCCTCCATCAGAAAGGATGAATACCCAACTTTTGTAGCAACATGGACAGGACTGGAAGAGATTATGCTGAGTGAAATAAGTCAAGCAGAGAGAGTCAATTATCATATGGTTTCACTTATTTGTGGAGCATAACAAATAACATGGAGGACATAGGGAGATGGAGAGGCGAAGGGAGTTGAGGGAAATTGGAAGGGGAGGTGAACCATGAGAGACTATGGACTCTGAAAATCAACCCAAGGGTTTTGAAGGGGTGGGGGGTGGGAGGTTGGGGGAGCCAGGTGGTGGGTATTAAGGAGGGCACGTATTGCATGGAGCACTGGATGTGGTGCAAAAACAATGAATTCTGTTATGCTGAAAAGAAAAAAAATAAAATTGGGTTTGGATCTGTTGGACATGTATGTATATTGTAAACTCTACGGCAACCAATTAAAAAAAAAACTATAATTGACATGCTAAAACAAAAGGGTAAATGGAATTATTTAAAGTGCTCAATTAAAACCAGAAAAGGCAGAAGGAGAGTTGAAGATAAAAGAGACAAAAATCAAGAGCAATAAGTAGAAAACAGTAATGAATATGGTAGATATTAATCCTACTATATCAATAATCACTTTAAATGTCAATGATCTAACTACATTAATCAAGAGTGTCAGAGTGGATTAAAAAAAAAGACCTCTTTTAGATTTTTTTTTAAAAGATTTTATTTATTTATTTGAGAGACAGAGATCACAAGTAGGCAGAGAGGTAGGCAGAGAGAGAAGAGAAGAAGGCTCCCTGCTGAGCAGAGAGCCAATGCAGGGATTGATCCCAGGACCCTGGGATCATGACCCAAGCTAAAGGCAGAGGCTTTAACCCACTGAGCCACCCGGGCACCCAAATTTTTCTTGTCAGTATATAGAAATGCAACTGATTTTTTATATTGATTTTGTATCCTGCAACTTTGCTGAATTCATTTGTTAGTTCT